CGGCCGGGGGGAAGCGCGAAGCCCTGGAACAGCCCAGCATGGCCGCCGCGCGCGCTGCGGGCCGCTCTGCCCGCGCCGCCCGCCGAAAGGTGGAGGCCGTTGGGGCTTGGGAAGAGGAGAAGCGCCAACAGCTCCAGTCACTCGTGCTAGTATTTGCCTAGATTGTCACTGGTTCGTTATATCCTAATTATTCTCCAGTGCCTGTTTGAAGATGGACATGAGACTTTTTATTTTAGGTCTGCCTTGTAAGCTGTGGCTGAGCTTCTGAGAAATAATGTTTATTTTTTCAGGTATCTGTTCCACATTACCTGCAGAAGATCCTCTTTTTTGTGTGTGTGCAGAGATAAGGGGTGCTTTTCTGTGGGTTTTTTTTTTCCTCCTCTTTTTTTTCTTGCTCAGTTTGTTACGCTATTCCATTCATCCATGCAGTGGGGTCCTGCATCATGACACAAGTTTGTAGTGTTACCACAATAGAAAAAAAAATAGGGAAATAGGAAAACTGTACATGCCATGTGAAACATTAGTTTATCTTAATCTGAAGAGTGTGTGAGTACCTTAATGTATCAGGGCCGTTTAATTTCTAGGGTTTGAAAAAAGAGTGTCTAATTTCTACTATATGAAGTGGATACAAAGCAGGGGGTACATACATAGAATAGTAACATTAGCAATTCCCTGGTTGGCACCCTTTGGGATGGTACTTCTTACTAAGGCTTCCCATTTTGCCAGCTCTCTTTTGGGAAACTGAAAAACTGTTTTGTACTTAGCTGGATAATGCTGAACTATTTCCAAAGAGGATTTGGAAGAATAATATTCTGTGGATTATGAGTGAAGAATATGGAGGAGATAAAGTTGAGGCTAGAAAGAAGACTAGATACAAAGTCAAAAGAGTAGACAACAATAAAAATGATAGAACTTTTTTTTGTGTGTGTGAGAGACTTACAAATATGGTTTGGCATTAAAAATTGTATTTCCTGCTGTGTTAGGTGATCTTGCCTTATTATAAACTTCAGTAATTAGGGAGAGGAAGGATTTTCTCTTCTGAGAAAGAAGAGAATATTTTGAGGATCATGTAACAGCAAAAAGTTTTAATTTCTCCATTGGTTAGACATTAAAAAAGTCATGACTCAACAAAGCTTTTCACTTGCAATCGGCGAGAGCATGTTTAGGTATTTTATCATCTTTCTCGTTCTAGATTTGCCTGTCTTAGGAACATAAAAGAAGGACGTGGGCTGGTGGGCAGACTTGCTTCTCAGCTGAATATTTTTGTTCTAGCTGAGATATAACTGCGTGTACATTCTTTGTATACTTGGGTATAAAAAGGCTGGGTTCATGTCAGTGTTGAGTGTTAGAGTAGCAGACTCTGCTTACCTCCATGGAGGACAGTGTTGTCAGACACTGATGTTGTCAGGTGTCTCTTCGTTTGATCTGGGGAATACTGTGCCAGTAAACTAAGAAGACTTTTAGGAGACTTCCAGCACTATTTTGGAGAAGAAGGTCTGCTAGAAAGTGATGCCAGACACTTACTTTCCTGCAAAAATTTTGAAAGTTGCTGAATTTCTTTTAATACCATTGGAGGGGGCAGCCAAGCTTAAAAACCTGTAAAATTCTCTGTGTGATGATGTGTGGAAAGTCTTATTGCATGAGGTCCACACAACTGTGTATAATGTGAGTGTTTTATTTAGAAAAAAAAAAAAGATTAAGACCACCTTATTGAGACGAAAACGTCATGAACCTGAAACCCATTCAAGTATAGTAAAACTTGCTGACAACAAAATCCTGTGCAGGTAAATCAGTAATATGAAAGCTAATTCTCTTGGTTGTCATTGCTGCTGTCTCTGGTTCTTGATAGTAAAATAGGAAGGAAGAGATGCTGATGTTTAGGAAAATGGTGGAGATTGAGGATAAGCTGCTTGAATTTTTGTTGTTCCCATCTTTGGTATTGTTCTGTCGTTTAGCAACCATAAATCCATTTTCAGTATAATCTGTACTGAGCATTTAGTATTCTTGGTCTACATTCCCACTGTCACTTTAACCTGGTATGTGGTTCTGCCAAAATGTGTCCATGCATGGGAGGCAGAGAGAGTAGTTTTCACACATATTGGTGATCTGTATGAGTTTTAACCACATGGAAGTACAAGCGCTCCATTCTGGTAGCAGCCCCGGTTGATACTGTCTTCAGGGGATTGTGGAAGCATGGCCTTGGCTTCATGGGTCTTCCTGGCCATCGTCTCTTCTCCACTGTGTGACAGGTGCTGGTATTGCAGTTGTTCTGTAGCTGTGGGTCCTTCCTAATTAATTTCAGTCAAAAAGAGCTAGGTTATGTGAAACAGTTATAATATTAGATACCTGATAGCATGGGTAATTTCGACAGAAAAAATATCTTCTAGGCATACTTTTAGGCGTATCCACAGATACGAGTGATAATCCCAGGCAGAAAGGTGCTTGTGAATAGCTTGTGACAGTCATTTTTTTGCCCCTCAGCTCAGCTTGAAAGGGGACAGCTGTCTGCAGCCTGGCGAGGAGTTGGCCAACTTTATCCTACAAATAACTGAGTAAAATAATGATGCTGGCACAGGTGTGAGGAGATGTAAATCCCAGCTGACACAGCTGGTGATGCATGCATTATGGGTAGTGCTCTTGTGACAGAACTATGTACTTCTGGTGTATTTGTTTCATTTCTGGAAGTGGAATTAGGTGAAGATAGAAAGTTCAGCTTAGTATAGATTTGGGTTTATTGATGAGCATTTTATGTGTACTAAAGTAAATCTCTTGGAAGTGTTTTTACTTAGAGGCTCCTCTAGGTGGTGGTTGAGAATGATGAATGGCTTGAACATTTTAGGATATAACTGAGGTTGCAACATCATCTTTTCTGTCAGGGTTTTGGAAGGAAGAAGTGAGCTGACCAAATGTTGCCTTGTATATTGGGTAACATATTAGTGTACACATGCATAGTGGGAGCCTTCAGGCTCATTTTTGTCTGGTAAGTTAGTGATACGAACATTAATTTATCAATTTATGAAATTTATTTATTTCAGTAGTATCTGTTTCTATGGGATTAACAAGGTAATAGTTGAAAAGAAATACGAGTGCGGAGAAATAGTTGGATTAAGTTAAAGACAGGGCTCACTGACAGGGTTTCTTTTTGGAGAATTGATCATGAAATATAAAAGAAGAAAGTGTAATATAGGCCATTTTAAAAACCAACTGCAGCTGTCTTTTGAAATCAAAGATGCCCAAGGAACTGCAGGAGAGAAAGAAGTACTGACTGCAAAGAATACTTAAGTATATTGAAGGGGAAATACTCGCTTAACTTAAAGGTAGTTAGGATAAATGTCATTAATGTTTTAGCCTGGTTTGCCAGGGATTTAATAAAGCTTATCTACTCTACTTATTCCGTCAGCTCTCTCATTCAAGAATGCCTTGCTGTCCCCACCCCTTTCCTGTAAGTTTTGATTCCATCTTCTGAATGGTTTCAGGGATGAGATATTCCTGAATTATTTTTACATGATTTACAACATCTGCTAAAGAATTAGGCATGTTGATTTGGGCTGTTCAGTCAGAGCTTTCATACTGAGCAATCGACGCAATTGCCGTTTGGAGCGAAATGCAGCCAGTATTTAGGGGAGATTATTGGAGGATTTAGGGAAAGTGCAGGGACACTGGAGGTAATGGGGGAAACCATATTGGTAAATAGATCTGACTTTATTGCAATGTGTGCCATAAGGATTTAGAGCACGCTCTAGGCTTCATTTGTTCCACTCTTCGTGAGAGAATGTAGATGAACTTACCAAATTAAGCAAAAGTTGGCAAGAATGAGAGTTTAGGTAAGATCCTCTTCTTTCCCTCTTCCACCTTTTTCTTTACAAAATCAAGTCAAAATTGCGGTAGGTATATTGACATTTATTTCATGATTAACTTTAATCATTATCAAAATCTGCAATTAAAATCGTATCTCATATTAAGGTGGTGTGTATTTATTTTGGCTAAAATGAGGTATATAATTCATGTATATAAAATCGTGTATATAGTTCATGCTTTCCTCTTCTGTTTCTCAATCTAATTGCCCATAAAGCAGAAATTGAGTATCTCACTTAAGTCTGAAGTTCCCATAAAATTGAGGAGTCATCTACTACAGACCCTTGAATGTCTTGGTTCAGCTAAATTGATTTGCACTTTTATCACCAAAATATCTGTCGTTTTTTAATTTTTATTTTCCCCCCTTTCCACATGGCCGTATTCTGCTATGGACAGTGCATGAGTACATGGCTGTTCCTCAGGCTGATTTCTGTTCTGACAGAAGTCTGTCCACTACCACCTTCCCATCTCCTTTTTCCCTCACCCGTGCTGCCTTTTCCTTGTGCCAGGAGTGTGTGTGAACAGTGGCATGAACTGGCTAGTGTTCTGCTAACCTGATCACAAGAAAATTTTCAGCTAGATGAGTTTCCCTTATTTATTTCTTCGTGGGGCTACAAAACTGCTTGTAGTAATAGGAGAGAGATAGGAGCAAGTAGGCCAAGGCAGGGCTGCTGCTTTTGATGCAGGTTATGGTTGTGTGAATTACTGTATTAGTTGCACAGCTATGAGGCTGGTATCTGCTGAGATTCTGCATGTTTGCAAAGTCCAGTCAGGCAGAGTTGCATGTCTGATGAGCTACTACCTGGTGTTTCATTTAAATGACTCCTGCTTTGTGCTTGGAATTTTCCCTGTATAATCTTGGCAAAACTGTTGGAGTAACATTGTGCATGAGGAGGAAAGAGAATATAGACTAATATGTTTACATTACAGTCTTTTGATTTCTGATAGCCTCTAGTTCTTAAGCTGAAAGTGACAGATGGCAACAATAGTTTTTCTAGGCTGTTCTGTGGCACGGCTACTAGAAGAGATTCAGTTCTAGAAGAGATTTTAGTACAGTTTTCTGGCAACAAAATATGATTAGAACTGAAAATTCATAGATTGCGTCCCGTATGCTGGGAAAAGTGTTCCAGTCTTAAAGATCCTTCTGTCATCATCATGTTGATTTCTTCCCTGAAGCGATTCAGAGAGATAGGGGAATAAGAAAAGAAAGAGAGCATTGCGGTTGTGTGTGATGTTGGAGACTGGAGTTCCAAATGACATAAAGGAGAGCCCTTACTAAAAATAAGGGGATTGATACAGTCAAGGATATGGCAAAGGCTACATTAGGGTTCTCAAGATACATCATCAACGCCATGAAAGGAGGAGAAGCAATACAAAGCTGAAGTTGTTTCACTTAGCAGTAACTGTGGAAAACCTGCATATTTATTTTTTAATGTAGAATGATCTGGTTTCTAATTGTAACAACTTTTGATCTCATAGTGACAGGAATCCTGGAAACGTGTATTGAAGAAATTGAATGCTTAAGCCTAGGTATCAAGCTGCAGCCACGAACAGTTATTTTAACTCTTTGACCATTCCTTTTTAATCTTTATGGCAAAAAAACCTGATATTTCTGAAAGTACCCTACTTCCATAATTATTACAGAGAAGTTAATGAAAAATAAGTTTTATTGCTTATCTCTTTACATTCAAGTTGCAGAATATAGCTTATAAAATAAGAAGTAGCCTGTCCTTTGCACGTTTAGGGAGTCCTATCTCCTCAGTTCTGTGAGTGCTGCCAGGGAACTGGTGCTCCCCACCTCCTAGGATGGTTGGTGATAAAGATGGTCCTGATCAGAGCCACTTGCGGAGCGGGCTGTGGCACTTGCTTATGTGAACAGTAGGAATTTAATAGGGAAGCAGACCTCCTGTTTAAGTAGTGAAGGACATACATTTCTCATGCACAGAATTTTCCTTTGATTTGCATCTAGTGTTCTTAGTATGTCTGTCAATTCTTCAGAGCTGTCTAAGACTTACAGGTTGCGCCCAGTCGTGCTTTTGTAGGAATTCAATAGATTATTCCTTGCATTGAGCCCTTATTTCCCAGGATAACTTGTTTTTGTGCTTAAGCTTTGCCTGTCAACATGGTTGCTGTTGGTTTTCAGCCCCAGCTAGGCCTGGGGTGCAGCACGTGGCTGTCACTGCAGCCGCACCAGGGCTGCCAGGGCCTCTTGTCTGCAGCCCTGCGTGCACTTCTGCTTCACCCTCTGCAAGGGTGTTTTACTGTGGGTCTCTGGTGAGCTGCTGCGGGTAGCTAAGGGAGTGGTAGCCTGGCCAAGGCCATCTTTATGGGTATCAGGGTGATTGAGGATGGGTAGACAGGGTGAATAGCAGCAGGGTTGTCCCAGAGCTGATGGACTGACTTCCAGCAGTCAGAGGATGGACTGTCCCAGACTCTTGGCTTTTTGTGCTTCCTGATGTCCCAAGCAGTGTGTCCGCTCCTGAGCAGGTGTAGGTCGTGGACCAGTTCTTTTAATGGAAATGGACTTTAGCAGAAGCTGGCCTTGGGCATGTGCTGCAGCAGCTGACAGGCTTCTGAGGATGCCAGCCTGCACCGAGGCCAGCAAGGGAGGTGGCGTGGGGGCCGCACATCCTCAGCCACTAACGCTGCGCGCTGGGGTCCCAAATTAGGCTGGTTACACAGCTGAAAGGTAGCTCGAGAGCTGTGGTCCCAAAGCTGACTCGTGTCTCTGTGATTCATATTATATCTTGAAAACGCAAGAATTCTGGGAACAAATGGCTTAAAGTTACACCATCTATAGAGCCAGAGGGCTTAAAACTCTATATTCCCTATACCTTGCAGTATCTTCTTCTTTTTGTATTTCTTCATTTTGAACTATGACACTTAAGCTTCAAGTTAGAACTATTGCAACAAGTAGTAAAAATAAATCAATCACTCCTTTGGTCCACAAAACACAAAATTGATGTAAAGTACTATGGACTTTGTCTTTCCTTTTTTTTTTTTTTTTTTTAAAGGTATGTGTTTTTTATGCATTCCTTTTCTTATCTTTTGTGCAGTTTTTGTTGTCTTTATAAAATCTTCTTGTTTGACTTGAGCATAATTTCACTAAGCAAAAGGAAAAAAACATTTTTATTTTTATTATTTACAGCATCTAAGCTTGTGAAGCCATGGGCGTAAAGGTCCAGAGACCTCGTTGCTTTTTTGACATAGCCATCAACAATGTACCTGGTAAGAAAATTAAAATATGTATTCAACATTCATTTAAGTATCTAACAGTAATATGAATCCACTTCATAACAATGTGGCTTTTTTTTTCTAGCTGGAAGAGTGGTCTTTGAATTGTTTTCAGATGTGTGCCCAAAGACATGTGAGAATTTTCGCTGCCTTTGCACAGGTTTGTAGATTTTTAATTCTATTTATAATTTTTAATATACCATGCTAGCTTGGCACCTGAATTATCTTCCCAGTATTTTCTGACATAAAAACAAACATATAAAGCATTGTTTCTTGGCGTCTGTAGAGATTTAGCAGATTTTTCATATACATCTGATGCAAAATCAAAGCAGTTGTAGCTTTGGCTTAGGATGTTGCAGGAAGCATACGCTAATCAAGTTCAAATACTGACACAATAAGCTGATTTTCTGTTACTAGAAATTGCGGCTTACATAATGTAACATTATCCAATCCTGAACTAAGAGGTCAAACATGCACACATCTGTTTTAGTATTATGATATTTTGAGGTATTTCAAAGGTATTGCTGGTATTCATTAGTGTCTTTACTTTGTACTTGGCTATCATTTTATTTTTCTTTGAAGGTGGAGCCTAGTGACTTTCATCTCTAGTGAAATCTAATTAATTATTGAAAAGAAATCAAAAGTTTCTCTCCTACAAACATTAGAAACATTTCCAAATAGTACTATTTTTCCTGTGGGCTTCCTGTCTCTTCTTTTTTTTTGAGAGAGAGAATGCTAATAGGTTACCAAATTTTTTTTTTTTCTGTCCTAAGCATTTCCTGCTCTCTTTTACTGTCAGCTCTGGTCCCTTCCAGGTCAAGGGTTTGTAGCTCCTCCTATGAATCACTCAGCAGTAGTAATTTGATCAGGATCAGGTGTGTGATTAGTTATGTGAAGTTAGCTGGAACACTTTGTATGACACTTGTGCTGACTACAGGAAAGCAGGCATTACTGTATTTGAAATTGTCAGGGTTACTTGAACAAAACCAGCATGCCAGAATTTGATAATTTTGAACCCCAAGTGTATGTGTCTTTTTATTTTATTTTTAATGGGGTTTAGCTTGGTATGATGCTTAATCTGTCAAATACCCAAAAGTTAGTTTTGCTGCATGAAGGTCTTATTTCCTTACTATTGCAAGAAATTTTTTCACCTGAAGTCTTTGATTAGCATTTCAAATCAGAAACAAATATAAGTCCATACTTAGTGGTTCACATGTAAAATTTGAGTTCAGATTAACTATTTTGGTGCTTCTATATATTTAAGAATAATGAGGAAAATATGTGGTCAAAGTGTTTATGACACTTTGACATAATTATTATGACACAGCAAATTATTTTCAATTTTTGATTTTATTTCTGTACTTTCATACTTATTTTTGTCAGTTCTGAAAAGGATATATAGTCTTCTTAAAACATGGGTTGATATCTTTTTCCCTTTTTTTTTTTTTTCTCCCTGCTGTACAGATGCTAGGCATACACCAACCTAGTTAAAACAAACACAGCTACCCCTTTACCAAAGATCCTGCTAGAGGTGCTTTTATAGCTAAGTCAGATGCATTCGGATGCCCCAGTCTGCTATAGCAAATTTCAGAGGCAACTGCCCTTGACAGAAGCTGTCAGTCTTGCAGCTCAGATGAGGGTATGGAAAGTCACAGTTGAACTGAGTGCCAGCACAGGGAGGAAAAGCTCTTTCTCTTTCCAACACAGTTTTACAGTTTACCTTATGGCTACCTTGAGGTTGGCTTTGCTGCTTGCAGAACTCCACATTGAGCTTTATGCTACCTTCACCATGGAATGTTGCAACTGAAGATTTATCTGTTCCTGTCCTTCAGGCAAAGCCAGTTACCTGAAACCTTCACTGACCATTCAATTTAGGTGAATCCAGAGAGGAGGCCTAGAAAGATTTGTGAGAGCACTTTCAGTTACATGACTAGTAATGTCCTTGCATCACTCATAGTAACACACTGTACCCTTAGCTGTTAAAGCCTCTTTGGATGTCGTTTTTTTACATCTGGGCTCTTAATTTGTCTTCTTAAATTAATTGTAGCTATTCTGGGGAGGAGAGGAAAAAAAAAAAAAAAGTAATTCTTGGATATCTCCTGTCAGTTGGGGTGTATGCTCATCTCTGCCAGTACTGCAGCACAAGGTGGTTTCTGCTCTATTTCCTTCAATGTAATATAAACCAGAAATGGACAGGTATGTGCTTACCTCTCGAGATGATTTTATTTGGAACTCAGCGAATGACTTTGATCAAGGCACTGCTCTTAGGGAGTGTGGTTTTTTTTGTTTTTTTTTTTTGTTTTTTTTTTTTTTGTTTTTTTTAATAGTGGTGATCCTACAGGTGCACAGAGTCACTTTGGTTTTCGTTTTGTTTTTTTTTCCCTTCCTCTCCTTTAGGTGAAAAGGGTACAGGAAAATCCACCCAAAAGCCATTGCATTACAAAAGTTGTCTGTTTCACAGGGTAGTGAAAGATTTCATGATCCAAGGAGGCGACTTCAGTGAAGGTATGGTGTGAAAAACCCTAATGCTTATGTAATAGAATAGTCCTGTTTAGCATCCTTTACTTACATTAATTATTCTGTAACTTAACTACTTTTTGTTTTCTAAGTAAGAACTTCACATGAAAACACCTAACATATATATATGTGCAGTTTCTCTTCCATTACCTTAGTACACAAAGTCTTATGTGTCATGGTAAAGTTGTTCTTTTTTCCTGCTCAAAGGAAACAGCAAGAAGATGCCTCTTATTATCTGATCATCTTTAGATATCTTCAAGAATAATGCCAGTGATTTGTAATTAGAGCAATAGTTTGTATTGTAAAACATCCTCAATAAAATATGACTCTCTTTATGACTACTTTAAGTTGTAACTGCTGCTTTTACTCTTTGAAGGAAATGGCAGGGGAGGAGAATCCATTTATGGTGGCTTTTTTGAAGGTAAGAGTTTCATGAGTCCACTCTTCCTTTGCAATCACGTTTATGTTCTGTTGTCTCAGTTCTGTAAGTTTCAACTCTGGTGTCTTTGTTAGGACTTTACTTGCCATAGAGTCTTGTGTTGTTTTTCACGTGAGGCTTTTAATGTGGTGGGGAGGTGGTTTCTTTTGCTTTCTGTGTTTTTGTTTGTTTTTTGTTTGTTTGTTTTTTAAGATATAAACCCTTGTAATGAAAAATTAAACAGAAATTAAATTCGTGTAGATTTAGGAATTTTGCCAGACCTGCATTTTTAACTGTTTCTAAACATGATATTCTGAACATACCTTTTTGGGCTTGAGCAGATAGCCAGAAGTTGCCTTTTTCTCCAGTCAGGAGGAGAAGGACATAATGGAGTCAGATTTTCTTGAAAGTTTTTTTTTTATTTACAGGAAAGGTGAAGCCTTCTTTTCCTGAGCTCAAGAGAACTTGAGTTTTAAGAGGCACCTGTTTTGTCACAGTGTTGGTTCTCTTTTAGTCGATGTCACCTGAGATCATCTTTTCTCAACAGCCTGTTTCCCAGCCTGTGTTTGTCCAGAATGTAGTGGAGCATCTCTCTATTTCAGGGAGCAGTTTCATGTTACAGCTAACCCCATCTGATGGCCATCTGCCACATGAAGGGGTGCTTGTAATCTTCTCTGCTCCTTGCCATTTTTCTTCTAACATTGGTGCTTGTCTGAGCTTACAGCAAACAGTCAATGTAGTTATTCGCTGGTTTTGGTAAGTTTAGGCTGCAGTTTTATATCAGGCCTTGGGTTGAATCAGCACTTTGCCACTGCCAGAGAAGAAAGGTCTTCGCTTGCACTGCTGTGGTTCCCGTCAGATCAAACTAAGCTGATCCAGCTTGTTAAACTGCCATACAAGCTGCAGCAAAAATGCATTTGCTTCCATATTAGTGTTTCGACCCATTTCACTAGGTAGGCCAACAAGCATAAGAACTAACACAAGTGACTAGCTGAGGTTGGAGAAATTTTTGTTGGGGGAGATAGAAGAAGCAGCAAAACTTCTGCCTTGTAGCAGCCATAGTGTGAATCTCCAGGGTTGTTTTTGCTGATGAGGCTCCTTAACCAGCTCACCAGGGTTAGATAACACCTAGTGCAAGACGGCAGTGGTTCAGGTGGCGGTGGGAGTGACCGTAAGTGTCGCTGTCCCATTGACCCGGTGTGATGCAAGATCACAACTGTACAAGCAGTGTTCTTTTCCTCTTTGATTCTTTGTCTTGCCATATCTCTATATGGTAACGAATGAACTTCAATCTGGATGTTTTTAGATACCCCAAGAGCCTTTAATGCTATTTGGGGGATGAAAGGGGATCTGTTACAAGTGTCTGAAGTGAAGAATTATGATTATATTTAACAGTTTCAGGATTTAACCTGACCTGTTAAAATTATTATATCATCCAAAGTAAGATTTCTTTCATTTAAACTTACTTTCTTCATGGTTAGTCTGACTAAACTTATCTGTGTAGCTGATAAACAGAAGTTGTTTGAAATTGCCATCAAACTCTGTGTTTATTAAAATATAACAAAATAGCTGGAAAAATGAGGGGATTTCGTAATGCTGAATGCACCATGATAAACTTTTTCTACTTCAGCAAGACAAAGATCTGTATATGCACAATAAAAATAGCAACAATTTAAAATGATCAGGTCTCTATTAACAGTGGTAGGAAACAAATTTCTTGATAAGGAAATTTCCATTTTTATTTTTTTCTCAGGCTAAAAATCTAAGTCATATTTCCCCTTCTTAAATTGCATTATATGAACTGTAAGGTCTTTTTAAAATAATGCTTGTTATTCTGGATCTAACTTTAATGCTATTTTTACTGAAATGGCAAGAATGAGTTTATTTAGGTTATAGCATTTATGTGAGCACAAGGGATTTCTCAAGTAATTGAAAATATATATATATTTTTTTTTTAGATGAAAGCTTTGCTGTTAAGCACAACAAAGAATTTCTTCTTTCAATGGCCAACCGAGGGAAAGATACAAATGGTTCACAGTTCTTTATGTAAGTACTAGACTGTTAGAAGGTGCGTGTGGCTTGGTGTTTGTAGGCTGTAAAAGTAACTTTTAATTATTGAAGACTAGCTCATAAGCAGACTCAAAGTTGCTGTTTTTTCAGAAACTCCCAAGGAGGTCGCCATTTTCCTAATGAACATTTTAGGGAAAATGACTTTTTTAAATCACTCTTGTATTTAGCACTCAATGTCTGCACAAAAGAGCTTTTTTGTTCTTGTTTTTGGTAGGTGTGTTCTAACTCGGGCAATAATGCAAATCTGTTAGATCCCTGCAGAATTTTATGACATTCTTTTAATGTCGAAAGGGAGGGAGAACAGCCCTGGAGTTTTTCTAGGCTCAAAAGTGGTAGAGAAATTTTCTGTCACAGAAAACTTTTAAATGGAGTCCTCATTTTGATTTAGCAGGTGTCTACTGCAGAAATATTTTAAGAATTCATATATAAACTTATGTATAACTCTTATCTACAGAAAGCATTCTTGAGATTCAACAGTCCTGCGTGTTTCATGACTTGAATTATGGTTAGTTGCGCACATCCATGCGTAACCACGTGTTCATGATAATGCGCCTGCCATTAGACCTGTACTTGGGACTGCCGACGGATAATGAGTATATTTATTTCAGAATTCAACTTCTGTCATGGCTGACATGCCTTGTAATCTTTTGTGTAGTGGGAGCTGTGAACCATTTGATTGTCTGCAGATAAAGACAGTCACTTCTACTTTTCTTGTCAAGTTTTTTTGTACACAGCTATTTTTTCCTTTTTTTCCCAAAGATTTTTATAAAGAATAGGTTATTTGCAGTCTTGTTCCTTTGAGACAGCTTGCCCTATTTTTATGTTGCTTGAAGTGATAATACAATTTAATAGAGTACTTGCATATAAAGATACTGTCTGAGAATTTATTAATCTGTGCTTTTGTTTCACCTGCATAAAATGTTAGTCAAAGTAAGAAAATCAATTAGTTTAATATATAGAACATTAAATAGCTGCATGCGGACTTAACAATATTGTAATAATGTACTGTTTTCCCACAGTTTTATTAGCTTACTCAATTTTCATTTTATGTATATATTCACTAAATATACATATGTATGGGTTTTTTATATATATATATACACCTTACATGCTTCAAATGTGACTGTTTTCCACTAAAACTTGCGTTTTTCTCTTTAAATTCCTTCGTTTGACAACAAAAGAACAACTAAACCTACACCTCACTTAGATGGGTAAGTATGTTTATCATCATCTTCTATGTTCATTTGAGGAATGCCTTGAAAAATTTAATACTAAGAAGTCATATTTCTGTTTAAATCTTCAGACATCATGTTGTTTTTGGACAAGTCATCTCAGGTCAAGAGGTTGTGAGAGAGATAGAAAACCAGAAAACAGATGCATCTAGTAAACCATATGCTGAAGTTCGCATATTGAGTTGCGGAGAGTTAATTCCAAAATCCAAAGGTAAAGTTGAACTGTAAATTTAACTGAATTTATTTGAAAGGAATTGATGAAGTTGTGCAGAAGGGCATCTAGCCAAACAAACCTAGTTTCGTTTTTTTGAGATTGTGACTTCAGTTGATCAAAGGTTTATGTAAGATATTTTTAAGAAGGTAAGATACTGATTAAAAATTACATTCTGATACAGGAGGGGAAAAAAAGATTTTTTTTTTTCCTATCAATTCTTAACAATAGTCTTTAATGAAGATTTATCATGCAAAGGGTATTTCTGGGGGATTTTGCAGAGAGCATAGCTAGGCTTGATTCATGATCTTCATGGGTGCTAAAGATGTCCCCATGGAATCCCTGCTTTTAAAACTGTGTCTTCAGAAAATGAAACTGATTATGGCTGCTTCATAATTCATTTAAAAATAATTTTACAAATCGGGTTATCCTGCCAGTACAATTTCTATTTATATATATATATACGTATGTGTGTGTATACATAAATATATATATAGAGAGAGAGTGCTATCAGTATAGAGTACAAAATATGCTGATACAGAGTACAAAGTTAAATAGGAGACATAAAATATTTACAGAATAGAGTTGGTTCTAGGGAGCAGTTAATCTGATAAGTTGTGTTTTGCCTGTACTTTGGATCCATGTCGCCTTCCTTTCTTCTTTTCTTGTTCAGCCTCTGGAGCATTCATTTTTTTCCCAACTGCTGTTACACATCATTATTAGCCCTTTTCCACCAGCTAGCTGTTCCGAAGAGTTGTTGCAGACTTTTCTGCTCCACAGATGCCAAGTTTTAGCAGACTGGCCGTTAGGTACAAAGTGTTTGTTTTGGCTTCAGCGGGCCAGTTCAGAGTAAAGCCAGGGAGAGCTACTCTCCCTCCGCTGTTGTAGCTGCCTGCAAGTCTCTTGTCTGCAGACACAACTGCTTTCAGAGGCCTTTGTGATACAGCATTCCTCACAGTGACAACTTTGTTCTGTTAACAAGAGTTAATTATGATAGTGCTCGTGAATAAATATCTGTGAGTACATATACTGTGTGTAGTCTTCACAGTAAGAAGCAGTCGGTCATTAAAGAGTGGCAAATGGCTGAAGAAACCCAGAAAAATACAAGGAAAAACAAACAAACAGAAAAACCTCTGAACGGCAAGTTGAGGAACAGTGAAAACAGTGGAAAAAAAAAAAGGTGAAAAACAGTGGGGAAAAAAAAAAACCATAAAGCAAACATCTGTCTTCTAGTGCCTCAAAATGAAGGCACAGTCTTTTGGGGGAGCATCCAAGTGACTGGGTTTGATGCAGGGTGGGCGTGAGTGTCCTTGTTGCACCTGCAGGGCAGGATAATCACCCTGGCTGCTTTCCGGCCAGGTGCTTTCATTTCAAGTGCGGTAGCCTGATAACATAGGGCCCATGTAAGAGCTGCTGTACTCCCTGGCAAGCTGAGGTGTGGAGAGTGCCTGGCTGTGCCATGCAGAGTGATCAGGTAATTTATGAAGTCTGGCAAATGCTGTAGGTCACAGTGAATGGAGTGGGAAGCAAGGCTGCTATTTCAGATGCGTTGATAGGTTGAAACCCAACACAGAAGATAACGAAGTGGAGCAGTTTGTCTGTAAATAGAAGTCTCTCCTCCTCACCAACCTTCATTCTACAGGATCAGTGTTGTTTGTTGGTGTGGTCTGTAATTGGCTGCAGCTAGATTGATTTGGGCTTCGAAATAGTTATTTGCTGCTGGGCAGAGAGACAGTTAGAGGTCAGCAGAAAGTTTATCTGTAACTTTCTGCCAAATATTCTGTTTGCTGTGTTACCAGTTCAGCTATTTTTTGTTACTCCACTCTGTCTTCCAAATGTGCATGTGCACACTTAAAATATCATCTAGCAGCAAAAATACGTTAAGATAACTTTCCCTTTTTAAAGAGCTTTTGTAATCATTTGGCTTAGTATTTGTTTCCTAACAAACTCTGATACACAATAGCTAGTATAACTTACATCATCCGTTTGGGCACAGGTCTGTGTTGGCCAAGAAAACAAGTGTTTGGCTGGAATAAACAGGTGTTATTTTGTATTACAGATAATAACAAAGAAGAAAGCTTAATTTATAAAGGGAGAAATCTTTGTGTGAAAGCATCCTGTTTGCTGTATCTGAATAATTCTCAAATGCAGATAGGTTGCACTATGTTGGTAGTAGTATTAATCTTGTATTTCTCTCCTCCTCCTCTTTTCCCTGTTTTGTGAAGAGGAGTTTTGAATTCTTTGGATAGACCAGGCTACTAAAAGATACATAAAATAGGCTAATATTTCCAGCCCATATGAATGCTACTACAAAGATTCATTTACTCTTCCAGAATTCATTTCTAAGTCCAAGCTGAAGACTGTATGTTATTCTAAAATACAGATTTTCTGTGGCTAGAAAACAAGGTGTTTTAATGGTAGCATTTATTTCTATGTATTTTTGTTCTGTTCAATGGTCAAGGTTCAATTTCTTGTTTCTGCAGCTATGTTATGTTGTGCAGTGAATAGTGGACTCTCTTTGCGATTTGCAGTAACAAACCAAAACAATATTATATAGCAGCTACAGAAGCCAGTTTTGATAAGACTAAGTCTGAAATGACCAGTGCTGCTTACCTTCTCTTCTTTTTGCATTTCTGGATAGAACCTCTAATTTTGTAGCCTGTAGCTTGGTGTAAATTTCTTGATGCATTTGGAAATGCTCATACTGTTCAACTGATAGACACTCAAGTGTCTAGCTCTAAGCCTCAAATGCCTTTTTAAGTTCTAATATTTTTTTTTAGTAGTATCATTTTTTTTTTCAAATTAGTCTGACTCTGAACTAGTACTTGCATCACTTTTAGTATTTTATGCAGGTCTGAGATTAGTTTAGGGGGTGAGAGGGGAAGATTAGTGTCTGTTCTTGGCTTGCTTGTTCCTCAACTGCTATCAGAATGCCAGTGAAATGCTGATTTAAAGCTCCAGAACACGTGCAAAAAATAATAAAATACATAGTAATGGAACAGCCTACACTAGCAGGGTTGCTTTTTAATACCAGGTGTTAAATGGTGTGTATCT